TCCATAACCTTGGTTCTGAATCTGGGTTTTTCTCAGTATCGGAAATGATATCCAGTACCAGTATCGGATCGGTGCATACCTACTTTGTCAGACACCATACTGACAGAGAAAACTGGTCATAATCGATAACATGTAAAACCATAACTAATGATAAGATTGCACTTGCCTTGTAGAACACTGTAATAATATTCCACCACATTACATTATTCACTCAGTCCCAGTGTACTTTGTCACATCTGCCCCAAACACAGCTGCCATTCTGTGTGAAAGGCTTATATGACCCCCACCAAACACACACGTTCTACATTTATACCTAGTGGACAAAATGTCTTCTTTATTTGTAAGGCTGGGTATCATTAAGAAGTTGCTGATACGACACATACCTCGATACAGTGCACTTTTGATTCAGTACAATATATTTCAAATCAGTTTGATAGAGTTAAACAAAAATAAAGGCTAAATCATGGCTATGAATCTAAAAGTCTTTGTTAAACCACTTCCTGTGCAAAATTCATATGAAACTTGCCCATTTTAATCCTCCAAACAGTGAAAATGTTAAATGTGTTGCTTAGAAACAGTTCCTTCCTCTAAAAAAGGAACATAACTGTAGCAATGTAACAAAATAATTTAACAAAATACACCAAAAAATACTCTTGGTGATATATCAATGCAGCAGCCCCTGATATCGATATTGCCTCATCACATTCAACAACACGATATATCGATATTTCAATATTTTTGCACTTCCCTATTTATTTGTATAGCACAATTCATACACAATACATCAAAATCACAATAAAAACAAATCAAAACATTAATAATCATCATAAAATTAAAAAGAGAGAGAGACATTAAATTAGAGAGAAGAGAATGAAAACCTTTCAGTCATATGCACAGCTAAACAGAACTGTTTTGAGCCTAGATTTAAACAGTGTTAAAGCAGAGGCCTGTCCAAGAAGAGTTTGACCTGCCAACCTTTTGATTACACAGGACAGTCCATGCCACCAGGTCCAACACCCCAATTATATTAAAAAATGATGTGATAAAATTGATAAAAATGCGATTACTGGCCAGAACTTCTGGTTTTGTGCATCTTAAGACAAGTTTAAGTCTTGGTTTGGAGTTTGTACAACTCATTAAAATCAGCGTTTTAACCTGGTTTAGTCTTGATTTAGTCCCATTTAGTCTTTGCTTAATCTGGATTAGTCCTCTTTAGATCCTACTTTAGTCTATGCCCTTACTTAGATCATGTTTATTCCTGGTTCAGTCCTTGTTTAGTTTTGGTTTAGCCTCTATATTGTCTCTTATATCTCCTCATTAAAGCTTATACTGTATTTAAATAGTGTCCGATTGTAAATATTTAATTTTCTAGACTCCAAACTGGACCAACAGCATCCACAGACCACCCATTATCTCCCAATGCATTGATTTGAAGCTAAAAATCACAAACACATTCCTTAAGTCGCTGGTATTTGGTGGCAATCCCGGATTTTACTAAAGATTCCACAGATTCCATGGAATTTGCCACTTTAATCCCATCAGGATTAGGAGCTCGATTCCCAGTTCACTACTATTCAATTTCATTCAAATACAGACATCATAACACTGCTTTATTATTTAGCTCCTTGATTTTATCTCGGTATTGGTTTGTTGTTTTATCAGCTGCACCATTGGCTCGTCAGTCGTTTTAATCTACTCAAAGGGAAGGTAGAGATAAGAAAAGCACCAAATCAAACGGGACAGACAGAGGATGAGCTAATCACTCAAACACATACGAACAACAATAACATTACTACAAGCTTCAATATTCAGAGTACGTGAAGTAATGCTGCTGATGTGAGGTAGTTCAGTGCTTTGGGGGTAAAAAGTGTTACAAAAGTACTGAGACTTTGGGCGCGTTCACACAAGCACCATTTTTAAATTTGGACGCTGTGACTAAACCTGCAAACTGAACACGTCTAAACCAGAAAAAGACCAGGACTAAACCAGGACTAGAACAGGTCTAAACCAGAAAAAGGCCTTGACTAAACCAGGACTAGAACAGGTCTAAACGAGAAAAAGACAAGGACTAAACCAGGACTAGAACAGGTCTAAACCAGAAAAAGGCCTTGAATAAACCAGGACTAGAACAGGTCTAAACGAGAAAAAGGCCTTGACTAAACCAGGACTAGAACAGGTCTAAACGAGAAAAAGACAAGGACTAAACCAGGACTAGAACAGGTCTAAACGAGAAAAAGACAAGGACTAAACCAGGACTAGAACAGGACTAAACCAGAAATAGACCAGGACTAAACCAGGACTAGAACAGGTCTAAACCAGAAAAAGACCTTGACTAAACCAGGACTAGAGCAGGTCTAAACCAGAAATAGACCAGAAGTAAACCAGGACTAGAACAAGACTAAACCAAAACTAAAGCATAACTAAAACAGGAATAGACAAGTACAAAACCAGGACTAGACCAAGATTAACCAAGACCAGAACAGAACTAAACCAGGACTTGAACAGGTCTAAACCAAAACTAAAGCATGACTAAACCAGAACGAAACCAGGACTAAACCAGGACTAAGACAGGACTAGACCAGGCCTAAACCACGACTTGAACAGGGCTGAACCAGAACTAGAGCAGGACTAAACCAGAAATAGACCAGGACTAAATCTGGACTTGACCAAGACTAGTTCAGGACTAAACCAAGACTAGAGCAGGACCAGACTGGGACTAAAACAGGACTAGAGCGGGACTAAACCTGGACCTGAACAGAACTAAACCACGATTAGAACAGCACTAGACGAGGACTAAACCAGAAATAGAGCATGACTAAACCAGGACTAGAAAAGAACTAAACCAGGACTAAACCAGGTCTAAACCAAAACTAAACTAAGAGTAAACCAGGACTAGAACAGGATCAAACCAAGACTAAACCAGGGCTAGAAAAAGACTAAACCAGAACTAAACCAAGAATAAACCAACACTAAACCAAAACTAAACTAAGACTAAACCAAGACTAGAACCGGACTAAACCAGGCCAAGAATAGGACTATACCAGGATTAGAACAGGACTAAACCAAGACTAGAACAAGACAAATCAAGTCTACATCATTATTAAACTGGGCCAAACAAGTCCAGGCCATGGTAGCAGGAGCAGCCAGAAGATTTAGTAATTAACTAAAAGCATTATTACATTTACATAAATAAAGTTAAAAAAAAAAGGTGAAATAGTTTGGACAGATAATGAGAAACAAAAAGTATATATTTAGGATTTTTCAAAGAACAAAAAACATTAACACAGCCAAAACTAAAAACAAGTACCAGTAGTAGTAATAGTGGTAGTAGTAGCAATACTTTAGTACTGGACTTAAGTAAAAAAAAAGTAGAGGTGGTAGTTAAACAATATAGCCAAATAGATTGCTACGTTAATTGAAACTAAATGCAAGAATGCAAATAATACTTTTACTTCAAATAATACTTTAAGTTTTTCCACGTCTGTGTATTTCTAATCCATCAGTAACATAAATGCCCCTTTGTGTCCTACTCACTAATCAGTCCCTTGCAGCTCCCAATTAACGCTTGTTAGCTCCATCTCCTCACCACTTCCTTCAAAAACTTCACACAAAACGTTCAAACTTCAAATTTCAACCGAAATTTAAGCAAAAATAACAATTCTTACCAGTTGAATTTGTTCACCCTCAAGAACCTCCACAAGCGCATACGTTTTATTCATATCCTTCATCCTTCAGAGATTCCTTGCCGTGCCTCCTAGCTCCTGTCTCCTCTCTCCTAACATGCAGCCTACCCCTGTCCAAGTAGACTAGCTCAGAACTCAGTGTGGCTCTGCTCTTTCTTCTCAGCGCCACTAAATCAAATTGAACTTTAGCCCTGTTTTTGCCTCCTCTCTCCTCCCTCCCTCCGCTCTTTCTCTCCGCCTTGCCCTCTTAGTTTTCAAATATCTTGTAAACAGGTTGAAGGCTAACTTCTTTCAGTTTAATTTGTAATTTTTTAATGAGTGTCTTGGTGGAAATGCAGTGATTATGTTGTTTTTTGTTGTGCGTGGTAGAATTTATAGCTGGTGGATTTGGTAGTCTCCTTCCTAAATCAATTATACACTTAGAAGAAAAACTTGGATGCTGCAAGGTTTTAAACTTGACAGTAAAAGCTGCTGCAAAAAACAAATGCAAAGTTTGTTCAGGAGTGTAGAAAGAAAAGTTAAAGTTAAGTTATCCAACTTTATTCTTGTAAATAAGTATTTTTTTTAACATAACAATATTCTTGAAGCATAAATGTCTAAGAGATTTCTCAAAGTTTTCTGGAATATGTATGACAGCTAAGGTGGTTTGTGGGTTCTTTCTTCTTTCTGATTGAATGAAGACAGAGCTAATGACAGTATCAATGAGTCCAAACTCAGTTTGTCAAAAAAAAGAAAAAAAAACTTGGGTTGTTATGCTCTGAGGGCTGTAATATACTGTAAAAGTGAAAGATTATATTGTAAAAGTATTACTTTGTGACAAAATGGGGTCACTGAACTGTCTGCATACAACTACTAAAGCAATCTGATCAATTTCACAGAGAGCCTGAAAACGTCATTATATTATGTATGGGATGAGAGTGTGATGGTTGTGCATTGGCAGGCCACCACCATTTTAACAAAAGCTGTTCTATGCACTCACCTGACAGTGTATGCATGTGAATACTAGCACTGTGCCAAAAGTTTGGAGGCTATAGGAACAAGTCAGGTAGATTAAATTCCCTACTTCCTACTTTCACTGTTTGAAAATCAAAATGTTTAAAAGAAGAGGAAACTATAACCACTCAACCAGGATTTATGGTGATTCATCAGTAACAGTATCAGTAGTATCAGGGTATAAGCTCTACCCATGACCACTCACTGCTCACTTTAGCACTTTTTCACCACACTGCAGTACTGCAGTGTGGTGAAAAAAAGACAAATGTGACACTTGTTTTAATACAGTGATTAGTATAACTAAATGCATGTAGTAGTACTCACTGTGTTGGGCATGATGGGGTCTATATAGGAGTGGATATCATCGAAGTTCGACTGCTGCATACTGATGATGTCATCAATAACGTCACTGACATTGTCCATCTGACACAAAAGAACAACAAAAAATCTTTACACAGTTCATACTTATTGGTTGCTAATGGTTCTGTATTACACAAAACGGACTCTTGTGAGCTTTTAGTGATCTTATAATGCCATTGCCTCCTCAAAAACATGGAGTTGTGTTTAGTTTCATTCAGACATATTGGAGTAATCCTTCATTATAGTGTTTCAACATCTTCAAATCTCAAAACGCTCAGTTTCACCTTGTGATGTCATGTAGTGGTAATTTTCAAATTAACAGCTACTTTTTATAGTTTGTGCAGTAGTGTTTGGCAATTCCAGGTCTGAAATCTTCCAAACTATTTTTGTTAAGGTGTATGGAGTTTAAAAACACAGTGGAGTGCGTGTGTGTTACCACATGACATCACAAGGTAGAGCAGAGAGTTTTCATTTTAAGAGATTAACTCAGCCTAAATGTGCTGGGTTTGTGTGTTAAACTTGTATGAATGAAACAAAACACAACTCCAGATATGTTATAGATGTTATGGGCCCTTTAAATCTCACAACTGACCAAATACAACAGACTTAAACAAATGGAAGAGCTGAGTACCCTTGGCAAAATGTTTTTCCTGTTTTGAAATTAACATGACACCACATTGTTAAAAAGTTGTGCTGGGTTAAGTGTGAATCAGGTCAAAGTCTGCAGTTCAAAGTTGTCTTGTCACTTGTTAAACCGTAATTACAGCTGCAGAGGCGTAATGGGCCATTTAAAAGTCAATGAAAACCAGTCCTTTATTGTTCCATAGCGTCCACACACAAACTCTGAATAAACGTAAGATGATGGGCTACTAAAGAGCCATCAAATCATTACAAAGCTTTCATAAAATGTAAGAATATATCCACTTTACAGATAAGAGTTAATCTTCGTGATTTTATATAGCATTGTAATCAAGTCATATTTGTTCAATTTCATCCTTGTAAATCCTTCATAACACTCTGGCCTTGATGCAAAACACTAAACCAGCCACACCTGTGACCTAGAATTTATTTTTATTTTGTGAAGATTCAAACGTTCACTTTTTACATTAAAGGTGCACTGTGGAACTTTTCTGGTGAAGGGTCCACCACCTGCTCATGTTTTAATTGCTTAAAAGGCTTGAAAAACATGCATTCTTACAGTAAGCGGGGTCACCTCTCACAGATCTGACCTGTTATTTGACCTGGTTATTGCTTGTCAACTGGTCGACTAAAAGTTGGGTATGACAAAAGCTTTCAAAACAATTACGTGTCTATATCTATCTGACCCAAACAGCACTCAACACCTCCTTGGGAGTTACTGCAAAAACAATACATGCAAAGAAAATTACTGAGGAACACAACAGATTAAAGTTATGAATCATGGGTTTATTCAACTTTTTTTTTTTACACAAAAATACCCCAAAAATACCAAAAAACAGCTAACTCACTAACTTATCCTTTCTGCTGCTGTCTCATAGCCAAGCTTGTGCCACCTAGTGCCTCTGCTCAATTTCATTTCTCTCCAGCGACTAGGTCAGAAACTAAAATGCAATAGACAGTTCACAAAAACCCCAGAAGCCTGAGTTCAGGCACAAGCCAATCAGCGAAGAGTAATATATTCAGTGTTGTCAACAATTCCTGAGATTGAGGATTTAAAGCCGGAATAAAGAAAATGTTTGGTGAATTTTATCAAGGGGAAAGATGTTATTGCCCTTCTTCCTACGGGATTTGGGAAAAGCTTAATATACCAGTTAGCCCCATTAGCGGCACATTACATACGTCATGACCAAATAGCAGCGATTGGTTAAATGATGATTTTACCGTTGAACGCTTAATGCTGCGAGGTCGAAACAAAGTAAAACCGGCTGATGAATCAGGCTAGCTGTCCCATAAGAATCCTTATAATTTAAATACACATTTTGTTCGAGTAAGACTCCACTCACTGACTAAACGATGACAGAATTACAACCCTACAGTGCCTAAACCTGGAGACAGAAGACCCATAAACTCTTTTCTCATTCTCTGCGTATGAGGCCATGCTCAGAACCTCCAGACTTGCTCGCTCACTCACTCGCTGAGCTGTAGAGGCTGCATTAGCACTGAGTCAGCATTGAAACAGTCAACTCAAATGAGAGGCGTATTCCGCTTTCTGATTGGGTAATAATCTTGAGAATCAAAACAATCTATTACATTTTGACAAAGCAGCTCGTGTGTGTTACTTGTGCCCACCGTGCCTTACCTCTTTCTCGTGCCCAGAGCCGATGTTGAGCATGGCCATTGGACTGTTGGGAGCGCTGTTCCCTGATAGGAGCTGCTCTGAGTGCATGTGGGAGGAGTGCAGAGGAGCAGGGTGAGGGGCTAACCCTGCGGGGGGACCCAGAGAAGGAGGGGGAAGAGGGGGAGAGGGAGGCACAGGCCCAACCACTGTCTGGATGGTCTACAGGACGAGACAGATCAAACAGTGTTAACAAATAAAACAAGGAATAAATAAACCTGGAATATCTGGGACTAAACCAGGACAAAATCAGGACAATCAGAGCTAAACAGTGCAAAATGAAACCGAGGATTTAACTTACTCACAACAAAGTACAAGGACATAACCAGGACTAGAACAGGACTAAACCAAGTCAACATCAGGACTAAACATTTGAGAACGTGAAAGTGAAATGTACCTGTTTGGTGGCGTAGGTGGTGGATAGGTACTCCTTCACCTGTTGTCTCACAGACTGTCGGATGTGGTAATCTGTGGGATTCTCCAGGTGAGTTTGCACCTACAACACAACAGCAACATGTGTTAACAGAAGTCAAATATATCACAGCGCAAGGAAGAATATAACAACAGACACATTTTTATCATTGTAATAATGACATTGCATTAGTAAGAGAAAAGTCCAGAATTGCAGAACTACAGATCGGCCAATACCAACTTCAAAACAATCCCTACTGTTTAGATATGGGGAAATAAATACAGAAATGTTTTGAGCATTCAAGTCTCAAAGCCCAGACAATACAGAATTACTCAAACAAGCACAATTTTGAGCACATTATTTATAACATATTATGTCCGCTCTAAACTCATAGTTAATTCTATGAGTTTAGAGTAGAAATAGACCGATTTAACGATATTTGCACTTTTTAGGGCATCATCTATTGCCCTTAAATCTCCAGCTAGGCCGATATTTTGTTTGGGTTAACCTGCTGCATAAGGAGTAGACAAAAAAGTTTTATTTGAACACATAAATGCAAAGAGATAATTATGACTACACAGCTTTCTTGTGAGTTTGTCATAAATTTAAGTTACATAATTTGGGGAAAATTATCAAAATCAACTCTACATATTTGCACAAAAATATCAGCTGATCTTATTGGCCATTGGTTGCTCTGGATTCTAAACAACTGTATCAGCATGGACCATGAAAAATATCGGTGGATCTGTAGTTTATAGTCTTAGCCCCAGCACCACTGTGTACTGACTATACAGTGTGTGTTGTACTGTGTCTGTATGTCAATCTGCACTTTAAACTGACACTAATAATGGGCCCATAGTTACTGAACTCTCCCATAACATAACATAGCATAACATAACACACACACGCAGTGTCTATGAGTAAATCCTGTTGAAGTGCCATGAGCAGCAGCTGTGCAGACCGGGCTCCTGAGGTGAGACTGTGTCCTCACTGAAGGACTAAGGAGCAGGTCAAAATACAACAGCACTTTACACTATTACACGCATGAGGGCTTTGTTAGAGCAAAACAACTGGGGACAAAGAGGCTTCATCAGTTATGTATGCTTCTGAATTTTATTGGCATTTAAACAGGCTTCTGGTCACCTTGGATTTAGTATTTCATGTTTTCTAACTTGAAATAATGTTGACATTAAAACATACATTAAAAACTACACCTTGGTGTGTTTTTTTAAGTGTGCACTCCCAATTTCCCCTTTTCGAACTAGAGCTTGCACTCCCACCTTCTCCAACTGTGCCAAAGTCCTGGTGCAATTGGACACACACTGGACAACCATATCAACCTTTATGTGCTTGGGCACTGTTCAACAGAGCTAATGTGAGTACACTTATAGTTACTAACTTTTTTCCCTACATAATTCCATATATCATACTTCATTTGATGTCTGCATGTGCTATAGATAAAATGTAAATAGTACTGTTGGCTGGCCCTGTCACTCTTATTTCTACACTTCTCTCTGAAAAAAAAAAAACAGATTTATCTTACTGAGTGTCTGCACAACAAATGATCATAATACTCAAGTTTGTTTAAGAAGTCAGGAGGGTAAAAGCTTGAACTAACTAAACACGTAAACTGCATATAATAAATACACAGACAACGTGCTAAATATATGGAGGATCATACTGACCGTGTAGTGAACTTGTCCTCATAGATCACTATCTCTGTTGGCAGAGACTGACAACATAAATAAACTAACATGATTTGAATCTGATCCATACAATGCATAGCCCTCTGTGTGAACATCGTATCAGAGCATCAGAGTCCTGTCAGTGCGGATCAAGCCCACACAAAGCAAACAGACAGGAATGAGAGGTATTGAACCAGTGATGGACAGAAGCACCTTATCTGTTACTACAAAGGAAACTCACTGGGGGCTATATTAACAACATGTTAACTATGTTAACAACACAAGCTGATTAACATCTACAGAAACTTGTATTTGCACTCAAAGAGTGAAAACCAAACTTTCTTGTTAAAGCCTGATCTCATCAGATCTCAGAATCTGAGATGGGAGACCGCTGAGAATACCAGGTGCCACAGTGAAGCGCCAGTGGCAAAACTGTTGTTCTGTCCTCAGGCAAGACACTTTATACACATTGCCTGGTACACATGTGGTGTCTGCGTGAGTGTTTGTGTCTTGAAAGGTGCCGTATAAAACCATCCATCCATTTTCTTCCGCTTCTAAGTCTAAGCAGGGACTCCCAGGCAGTTTTTATCTGCTTTTACAGTTGATGGGGTAATCAAAGTCTTCAAACATAACAGAATATCTTTACACACAGGTTGTGAACTTGCAGTCCTCAACAAAAATCTCATATGTGCTAAATTACTTAGTACCAATTTAAAACACTAGTTTTAGCTACTAAGAATTGAAAAAAAATATATAGCAATTTAACACTGGACCTGTGTTTAGACTCAGACAAAACTATGTGTTTTACTACTACTCAAATGGCAAATACATTTTAACTAAAAAAAAAAAATAGAATAGTTAAAAAATCTAAAAAAAAATAAATAAATAAATCTTCCATACTTTTATCTACTTGTTGGAATTTTGGTGAAGTACTTCCTGGATGGACACTGGGATCAGATATGACAAATGTAGGAGTATGTTACATAGCAACGTTGTCAACAAGGGCCAAAACTTACTCTATATTACACAATAACTATGATTTGACAAAAACAAATAACTTCCTGTATTTTACATCCCTTTGTTTTCTACTATTCTTTACAAATTGATGTAAAGCTGTCATTAATATTTACCACAGGTACTATCCCACAAAACCAAATCAGAATTATATGAATCTGAATGAAATGAAAATATATGAATCTGTCAAATGCGCTTTAACTGAATTATAGCTTGACCAGTTGCAATGAAATGACTCTGTGCATGTAAACAAACAAGGTGATGTAGTAACTATTGAAAAGTGGTGACAAAACAGAACCTCCTCAGATAAAACTGTCCAAATGTTCAGATATCAGGAGCCTGTGTACACTGTTGCATAAAGCCACGATGAGACAGACTTCGGCATGAGTGGAATTAGCCCCTCCCTTATCTGCTCTGTCTGTGATATCACTCAAACAACTCAAACATGTCAATCCAAAAGTCTTATCTACCGCATTGCTCGACTACTCGTCTTCTTACACGTGTATCCAAAAAAGGTGCACAGCTTCTTCAATCTGCAGTCAGACAGGAGAAACAGACGGGGCAGCAGCAGCCTCTATTCATGTCTTTAGCACATGGTTATTTGCTTGTTCATGCCATCTGAAGTAAAAAAAAAAAGTTCTAAACAAGCTCCTGGCAATGCACACAACGATTCTATCCTCAAGTCACCCCACTGGCCTCGCCTCAGAGTCAGGGTCAGTGATGGGAAAGGAACTCAGTGCATGTTTTGATACTTTGACCAATCAGTATTCGTTTGAAGGTCCCGAGAGCCAGTCCAGACTGCTAAATGTGTATGACTCAATTAAGAGAGCTAAACATATCAGTCTGGAGTGGGCCAGGGTATGTTTTGGGTTAATGAGGGAAACCGGAGTCCCACAAGGAAACCCACTTAGACACAGGGACAAACAAACAAATTCTACACACAAATTTAACCCAGGACCTTCTTGCTGCATACTGGTACTTCAAGTAGCTGGTGCTGTAGTAGTAGTAGTAGTAGTAGTAGTAGTTGCCTTGAGTACTTCAGCGGGCACTTGCATGCTCTGGTAGTGCTGGGGGGCATTGATGGCGGGGGTAGTAGTAAAAGTAGTAGTAGTAGTAGTTACCTTGAGTACTTCAGCGGGCACTTGCATGCTCTGGTAGTGTTGGGGGGCACTCATGGCGGGGGTAGTAGTAAAAGTAGTAGTAGTAGTAGTTACCTTGAGTACTTCAGCGGGCACTTGCATGCTCTGGTAGTGTTGGGGGGCACTCATGGCGGGAGTAGTAGTAATAGTAGTAGTAGTATTTACCTTGAGTACTTCAGCGGGCACTTGCATGCTCTGGTAGTGTTGGGGGGCATTGATGGCGGGGGTAGTAGTAATAGTAGTAGTAGTATTTACCTTGAGTACTTCAGCGGGCACTTGCATGCTCTGGTAGTGTTGGGGGGCACTGATGGCGGGGGTAGTAGTAATAGTAGTAGTAGTATTACCTTGAGTACTTCAGCGGGCACTTGCATGCTCTGGTAGTGTTGGGGCATTGATGGCGGGGGTAGTAGTAATAGTAGTAGTAGTATTTACCTTGAGTACTTCAGCGGGCACTTGCATGCTCTGGTAGTGTTGGGGGGCATTGATGGCGGGGGTAGTAGTAATAGTAGTAGTAGTATTTACCTTGAGTACTTCAGCGGGCACTTGCATGCTCTGGTAGTGTTGGGGGGCATTGATGGCGGGGGGTAGTAGTAATAGTAGTAGTAGTATTTACCTTGAGTACTTCAGCGGGCACTTGCATGCTCTGGTAGTGTTGGGGGGCACTGATGGCGGGGGTGGGGGGAGGAGCAGAGGTGCGGTTCATAAAGTGCAGAGCTGTGTTCTGTTGCTGGCGCTCGCGCTGCTCCTCCTGCTGCAGCTGGTCCCGCATTAGCTGCACACAAACAAAAAATTATACTTTATTTACAACTATTAATACTACTACTATTATACTACTATGAAAGCTACTATTACTGCTATTACAGATAAATCAAGACTCAAGTCACAGGCAGAGAAATAAAGGGCGCACTCATACTAGACTTTCTGAATTGTGTATTTTTCTATAAGCCTCACTCACACCTGCACAACCTGGACCACAGCCTAGTGTTGTCCTCACACACTGCTGTTTGTTTACATGTCAAGCTGAAATCCTAATGAGAAAATAAATTCAGCAGCACAAATATGTATTATTATAAGAGTGAGGCAGATCTGAGCCCTTCTGTAATACGCTCCTCTGTGAAATTATGGATTTAACAACAGTGTGAGGCAGCGAGGGCAACAGGAGGCATGAGGATGTCAAACTTCTGTACATGTCACTGTCCTTACTAAAGGTAAGCACAGGTTCGCTGTGTGTTTAGAAGCAGAGTTTAGTCTCTGTTTTCCTCTGATCAGTAACATCAGTGCACATGACAGGGCTGACCGGGCTCTTAAACATGAGTTGTGCATGTATGCGTACATAAGCGACCACGTTGTGTTTTGCCCATCTCCTCCTCTTTGCCAGTGTCCCAACCGGGCTGTTCCTGGGCACGGTTCATTTACACTCACACTGGACAAATGTACCATGCTTAAGGCCTTTCCATGTTTGAACACAGTTTGACAGGGTCAGTGTGAGCGCACACCAGGAGGTTAAGTGGCTATTGCTCCTGCCTTGTACATGAAAACACCTGTAATTGAATAAATGCTAAATGGATGAGTGTCACCATACTGTGGAACATTCTAGGCAAAGCAATGATTTCTATATGAAGACAGAATCTCAGAACATATTTGTACAGATAAAAACTAAGAAAACTAATATTTTGTTGTATGTGGAGGAAATTATTATTTTTTTATTAATAGATATACTAATTGTGTCCATTTTGAATTGATTGTATTTATCTTGCAGCCCTAGTCAGAGGGGGTAGAGTCTGGAGCTCAGGGTCAAGTGGAGGTGGAGGTCTGGGGGTCTCACCTGCATGCGCAGCCCAATGCGAGAGGCCATGGCTGGGGCCCGGGGCGGCAGGGGAGGGCGAGCCGAGGTCAGAGCACCACCGTCCAGCCCGAGAGATACACGAGGCTGCAGAGAGGAACAGAGGAGAATTAACAAAGAGGTGAAGACACATTTTCTTTCAATATTTCAATAGTTTTTTGAAGAAAATGTTATGTTCAAGACTGTACATGTTAATATCACTCAAAAGATAGGGACAAGGGCTTGTGTCCCTGCATTGATCATTATTATTGTATTTTTTTAACACAATTCTTAAAAATAGTTTTGTAAATATTAAATAAGACCTTCTAAAGTTGACTTCCTATGCAATGCACAACTGAAACACAACTCTGAATATGTTTATAGTGAAGAAATGAAATGTAATGTAATCACAAGTTCAAATTCCCCCCCCAAAATTTCCATAACAGTGCAGCCCTGTCACATGTCACTGTCAATACCTGATATTTTTTATAGAAATGACTGAATCTTCACATTTTGCATATAACCCCTGTGTACCCAGTGGACTCCAGTCATGTGTCTGTCATGTGTTGTTTTGATGGGGAACACCCTTCACCAGTTTACACTGATTCGGGGAGTCCCTCCTAACACTTCCCCTTTCACTCTGACCATGCATTATCATCCACCATCGTTCACTCTTAAACAACAAAATTAGTCATCTTCAAAAGTTCACAATTCTGTTCTTTGTATTTTGTCTGCAGTAGATTCAGGAGAAACCTCTTTACTCAAAAGATAATACTGCAAGAGGAAATAGAAGTACAATACTCAACAATACTGTAGTTGTTTAACTGGTTAGTGTTGCAAGAAGTAGTGGGTTCAATTTCCCATATGACACCCTAAACTCTGAGCGACAAGTTTAAAGTGTCATTTAAGATTTTCAAAATACCTGACAACAATACTGACAGTTATTTAAAAGGGCCCATTGATTTGTTAAAATGTTGTTTCCTCATAAAAGATAAATCCAAAGTTGCATTTTGTTTCATTTACACACATTTAACACATAAATCCTGCATTTTTACACTGAGTTCTTCTCTCAGACAGAAAACACTGTTCCACTTTGTGATGTCATGTGGTAATACAGGCAGTCATCAGTAATACTAGTAATTACTTGGATAATAACAGAATATCTTCAAGGTAAAAGAAGTTTAAAAGGAGCTTAAACTTAAAAACTACCACTGTGTGACATCAGAACAGAGCATTTTGAGCTTTGGAGATTTGGACAGACTAAAGGTTTACTCAAACATGTGTGAATGAAAGAAAACACAAAAACTCCATGATGATGTAACAACTGCATAACATGGCTTAATGCTCACAGGTGTCAAAAAATAAAATTACTACTACTCATCTTTTTAGAGAAGTAAGACAAAAATATTATCATGTATATTATCAGCAGTGTGAATTTCAAAACTGCTACTACTGCCACTACTACATCTGTTACTACTGTCAAATCAAGCTTCAGTTATACAAGTGCTTTTCATACATTTAGACCACAGAATGGCTCAAAATAATAGTAGTCATTTCATTGTGGTCATGTGCTCTGATACACAAATTAGTATCTAGTTTTGGTATCAACAGTAAAAGTTCTTAGTCTGTCCAAAATCAAGTCTTCATCATTAAACAAATATATCTCCCTTGTGACCCTTTTCCAGCCATTGGCCTCCTTTATAAACACTGGTCCTTTGCATGGGGTGAGGGAGAGAGAGAGTTAGGAAACAGAGAGAAAAAGGGGAGAGAAAGAGAAAGAGATGAGAAAGAGGGAGAGAGAGTTCGAGGCAGAGGAGAAACGCTCTTTGTGTGTGGGGTACAATAAGACATGATGCCCCATTGGAGACGCACTGGGAGCTCTTGTCCTGGGACACAGTTCAGTTCCACACACACAGACACACAGAAGGCGGGAGGGAAAGTGATAGACAGAAAGATAGAGGGAAAGAGAGAGAGCAACAGAGAGAGAGAAAGACAAAGAGAGAGAGACAGAAAGAGAAAGAAAGTGACAGAGAGAATGAGAGGGAGAGTGGAGGAGAAACACACAACACACACACACACAGAGGGCTTTGTGTCTTGTACCGAAAACACACGCCCCAGAGTTCTGCACACACAACACGGCATTCCAGCATCCGTCCTCAAATACAACACAATTCACTGTAATGAAAGACCAGTTTTCCTTCTCACTAAATGTTTCCTCGGTCATTGGTGTCTTAGTCTAGTCGACCAAAATCTGATCAGAAAAAAGCAGAAATTGGTTAAGAAACTTAGTAAGTGAATGGAGCTCCACAATCCCGCCCATTTCAAAGCCCGCTCTGGTTTTGCAAGGAAAATCTTCATTCATTTTTCCCCACAGACTTTTCAAACCATTAAAATATTAGGAGTTCAAAAGCATTGCAGAGGGTAAGCCGCTACGTGCTGACTAATATTCATTAATGCGGCTGTTTTAAGTCCAAAAAGCGTGCTTACAACACAAGAGTCTGTGAAATACATTAATAATTTAGTGATTTATAAAGTTTCAGAGACAGATTTTACATTAAACATTAAAATTATAGGTCATTAGTTACCACATTAGCCCTGAGTTTTCAAACTTTTTACAGTGTGCTACTTTTTCCTCTTAAAATGCCTTGATAAGATTTAACCCAAAGAACTAAGACTTAGAACAGTTATTTCTTTATGTAGTCTACACTGAAATGGAGCAAAGGATCATGGTCTATGTAGCACCATAGTGCACCATACCAGAACCCACCTCCCGATTGTGAACTAACTATTATCATTATCTGGATTAGTCGTATACTTAGCTTCAACACCTCGAGAAGTAATTCCTTTGTGTCTGCGTTTGTTGTCAGTTATGTACACACGACTGTCAGCGCACGCGATCCGTGTTCAGAATGCTTCTGTTAATATTTGAGAAACCTGTTTTAAGACATAATGCCTTGAGGAATGATTTGAAAAGAGTACATTTTGCAATATCATTTTGCTGTGTGTTTAGAGGAAGGAAATAGTGAGGGGCCCCGTTATTTTCAACCCTACTACACAGGACTCCAAAAGTAGAGTTGACATTTCAAACACTGATATCCAGTGAATATTAAGAAATACTAAGTTCTCTTTTCATGGTGAGGAAAGTTGTGACGAAAGTCTCTTGTGTCTCTCGTGCTGGTGACGTCTTCTTACTTGTCACTTCCAGAAAGCTCCTCTCCTATATCCTCTTTCTGTGACTAAGCTCTGACACAGACACAGACACAGGGGGGGAGCTGTGTCCCATTTCTCAAAACTCGCCTCCTCAGCTCCTCGATTTCTCCACTTTTAGCCACACCCACAAAGAAGACAGTGCTGTGTGCCCTCGGTTAAATTGTTTTTCAGAAAATGTTAAATCTCAGTGGGACCTTCCTGGTGGGTTTTCAACAATGGTATTAAGTTAATGTACAAAACAATTACAATTCATGCTTTATTTCCGAGCATAGAAGGAAAAGCATTCAAACGATACAATATTTTGTTGTTAATTACTATGACAACTATTTTGTCATTCTGAAACCCATGGGTAAAGCAGTTAGGTCTTTATAGGGACTGTTTTAATCCATGTTCATTCGTTTATCAAAATAAAACCAAAAAAAACAAAAATTTTCTTCATTATTTGTCTCCAAAACCAAAATGAAAAAAAAACAAAACAACTGATAATGATTAGTTTTTTTCAGTTTTCGATTTTGTGTTCAAATGAATAATGGAAAATACTAACATAACATTTCCCGTTTCTGTAATTTAAACTGTTATTCCAGACTTTTGTGCCGCATATGGAGTCCAAGGTTAGTCCTGGTTCAGTCCTGGTTTAGTCCTGGTTTAGTCCTGGTTTAGTCCTGGTTTAGTCCTGGTTTAGTCCTCATTCACTTCTAGTTTGGTCTTGGTTTAGTCCTGGTTCAGTCTGTATGTGGCGCAAAAGTCCGGCATTGCAGTTTAATTCATGGAAACAGGAAACGGCCGTTATCTGTTTTTTCCATTATTCATTTAAACTCAAAATCAAAAACTGAAAAAACAAATTGTTATGTTTTTTTACCTCCGCCAAGGAGGTTATGTTTTTGCCGGCGTTTGTCTGTTTGTTTGTTTGTTTGTTTGTTTGTTTGTTTGTCTGTTAGCAACATAACTCAAAAAGTTATGGACCGATTTTGATGAAATTTTCAGGATTTGTTGGAAATGTGAAAAGGAAGAACTGATTTCATTTTGGGAGTGATCCGGAAGAAATCCTGGATTCTGGATCACTTTGAAATTTTTGTTAACATTGTGGTAAATGGGGCCAAAAATTTTGTTTCTCAATATCTCGGTTAATTATTGACCAAACCCCATGAAATTTGACTCAGGGATGGACAATGGGATCCTCTTTCATATTCCAAAGGCTGATCCGGATCTGATCCAGAAGACTGATTTTATCGCAATTTATATAAAAAATGGGGGTAATCCTTGGCGGAGGTCTGCGCTCTCTGAGTGCTTTTCTAGTTTTGTTTTGTTTTTGTTTTTAATTATTGGAGACAAATAATGAAGAAAATTTTTGTTTTTCTTTTTTATTTTGAAAAACGAATGATACACAGTTTTGTTTTCTTCCCGTATCTGCAATGTTTAATTCATCAGTAGTGACACATTGTGAGAGTTATATTAAGTATTGTTGCATCCATAGTAGCCACAGCTGCCCTGGAGTAGACAGATGAAAGAAAGACTGTCAATCTGTGCCACCAACCCCTCATATAACATCACACCGATTCATTTGATAAGAATAAAACATGAATGCAAAACCCAACTTCAGATATGTATTTGATGAGGATACTTAAAGGTGCAGTGCATAACTCTTCTCAAGGATTGTCCACCGTCGTCTTGCCTCCATGGTAACAAGACTACTTTGCCTTAAATATCCCATGGTATGGCATTAAACTTACAGGTCAGATCTGCGTTCACAATATTAATGCATGATTCTCCAAGACATTTTGAGCAATAAAAACACCAGTAATCTAAAACATGGGTGATGGAAGATGGATAACTTTAATGCCATACTGCGGAACAATGCAAGCAAAGCAATAACATCTCCACGGAGACTAGAAAAGTTACTTAGTGCAACTTCAACTAAAGACTATTAACTGTCAAATCAGCAAATAACAGACACTGGGAGACAACTTTCGAGAAATGAAACAGAGCCCATGGACAGACAGCGACTGATGACATCACCGCCTCATGACATCACTTCCTGTTCCTGCTCGGGCGGTGGCACAGTGTTAGCGGACAGGCCCCTCTCTGCAGCGTACCGGAGTGACGTGGGGATAGCATACAGACGAGTATTGTACATGGCCACGGTGATGTCACAACCCTTCAAAGACTGCAGTGGGAGGAAGAGGAGGAGGAAGAGAGGAGGAAGAGAGGCCAAAGGGCTCCAGCGGATTGTGGCAACGATTAGTCACGAAGATGCTGCAGCCAAGGAGTTCAACTTGTGCAAGGACAATGTAAATTTAATTAAGGAATAATTATCTTTAATGGTGTAAAAAAGGAGGGAGGTGGTGCAAAAATGGCAAAAATCTATATTGTTGTTTTGAATATTGACTCTGTAATAAAAATGTACATTAAAAGAGAAGGACCTTGAGAGATATCTGACAATTTATAGATGCTCTGTGGTTTGCTTTTGTAATTTGAGTCCAAAATGAAGCTCATCTTAACACCAAAGTGAAATATCTTTAACTTTTTTTAGCAGTTAAATGTTATAATTGGGATTGTAAAAATGATTGTAAAATAGACTAGGAAAAAAACAAACAAAATAGAAAATAAAATGTAATAACTAGGCCTTAATCTTTACTGAAATTATGATTAAACTTAGTAACCTCATAACTCCATTCTGAGTCCCACTTGGTCCAAGGAGCGAACCTAAAGACCTTCTTGCTGTGAGGCGGAATTGCTAACTACTATGTCAACTTATCACCTCCAGTTACTTTACTTCGCTCAATGAAGTATCCGTAGTAGAAGTAGTAATAGAAAAACAAACGTTTGTGTCACTGTTATCACTAATTCCTCCACGGGATTCTAATATTACTTCATCATCATCTTCACCATCCCTTTAATCCAGTCACTGTCATAACAAAAGTCTGTTTCTTAACAACAAAAACATATACTTTATCAATAGAACCTTTTCCTATGGGTACTGACAGCAAGTCATCTCACTCACTTGGCATAGATATTACACTGGATGCCCTTCCAGTGGTAACAGTAGTAGTTTATTCTGCTCTGTCTATGTTGACAATGCAGAGCAAGCATGAGAAATCAGCACAGCTCCTTGACACGGTGAGATAATATGGTAACAGCATTAGATGTGTCCGTATTGACTCCTCAGCTCCTGCATTCTCCAGTGAAGCGTAGCTGGCGCCTGAACGGACAAACACGCTGTTAATTTGTTGCTGTGAGTATTTTTAGATGTGACTGAGAGGCCTTTAAACCGCCGAGCTCAAAGTGTGAGGAGGTGTACGGAGCGCACAACAACACAACAGGACACAGCGCACAACAGAGGAGCTACTGTACACAGGGATGGTGAAGAAGTTTGATTACAGAAGATCTATAAGGATTTTTCTGTTTTTTAGTTGTTATTTTTTAGTAATTTACATGACATATGTAGAATATTATGTCATTATGTTGTTCATTATAAACTGCAGGACTGATCTGAAATGACTTAATAATAGAAACAAGTCCATTAAATGAACAATATGTAGTCTGCGCTCTTACAGTTTGGAAAAAAAAAAAAAAAAGATATAATCACACCTGAACCTGGGTTGCCAGAGCCTAAACTCATAGATAGAGGAGACATATACATTTTTCTCTGTATTTGCAGTCTCATGTGAAAGCTTAGAACCTACAGAATTCCCTCCCTGAGCTGCAGAGGCTGCACTAGCACTGACTCATGATTGGTGCAGGGGCTGGGCTTTAGGTAGAGACCATTCAGATCAGAGGGGCAACCAACTGGATTTCAGCATTGAAACTGGCAACCCAAATGCGAGTCATGTGGGGCTCATTCTGCTTTCTGATTGGATAATCATCTTGAAATATTAGAAACAACATGGCCATGATGTCTAATGCTTTGTAATTAAGAATAAATCAGCATTGGAGTTGTTATCGGTAAAAGTTATATTTGATTTGCACATGTCGACCTTGTATCTGAGGAGACAGATAGTTATGATTATTTAATCTACAATCAAAATGTGACATACGGTTCCTTTAAGCGCCTGTTTCAAATGGCTGATTCTCTCAGTTTCACTTCACAGTAACAAGCAGAAGTTTTAATTTATGGTGAAAAATATCATTAGCTGCATAACATTTTTCATGCCTGTGTGTGTAAATATGTGAAAGAGCATTTAACTGATCTACACAACTGTACAATGTGCCTAACATATTCCTAGAAAATTCCTTGAGAATTTTGCAGAAAAAGACATTTTTCATCCCTGTGTGTGTGACCAGGATGCTGAATTTTTCAATCACACTGAAGTGAGCTGAGATGGGGCTGTGTGAGAGTAGATTTTTTTGGGATCACCTCTGCACAGATCTGACTTGCAACTTTGCCTTGTGGTGTCACCTGCTTCTCTTACAAAGCAAAGTAATAACATCTCTGTGGAGAAAACCAGGTGATCACAAAAGTTAGATGCATCTTTAACTATAACGAAAACTATACCTTATAAAACCAAAACCCTTTGTTTATCATTTCATATTGTCCATAGTGACTTTGCAACCATCCACCTCTGTCTCAGTCACTATGCAGAGACGTGGCCTCTCTATAGATCTTATCAGCCCTGACTAAAATAACCCCCTGTCTCACATCACGTCTTCTTCAGGAACAGCCCGTCCACCACACACTGTAAACACGAGAAACCCTCACCCATCCAAATAGTCCACTTATGCATAACTGACATAATGAGGCCTTAAATCATTATGGGCTTTTCTTATTGCAGGGCTACTTTGGAGGGTAAAGTTAGCCTGTTATGTAATGGCGCTGGCATTTCAAGTATGGCTCCTTCCTCTTTGCTCTCACACAACCAGCTGTATCCTCCTCATACAAACCAGGAACCATATGGAAATCAGGGAAACGGAAGGCTACAAATCATGCATGCTATTGAAATGTAAATAAATAGAAAAGTGCTATTTCCTCAAGGCAAAATAAAATGAAACAGCAATTAAATGATCTACACAACCGTCAAATGTGCCTAAGCTGCTCCAGAAAATTCCTCGAGAATTTTTATTTAGTGTAGCAATTTTAGAGAAAAAAAAAAAACAGAAGGAAAACAGATCTAAACAAAAATATTAGAGCACAATGGTTGATGGTGGATTAAATATTAGGGTTTTAATGGTGCACTGCCTAATTAGGGGTATGCACAAATATTGAAATGTCGATATATCATATAATTTAATGTGATGATACAGTATTGATATCGTGGGCTGCTGTATCAATATATCACCAAGAGTATTTTTTGGTATATTTTACAAAATTATTTTGTTACAGTGCCACAGATTTATTACTTGTTTAGAAAAAGAAAACTTGTTTATACAGCACATTTGACATTTTCATGGTGATTAAAATGTTTGTGTTTCATATTCACTTTGCACAAGACGTGGTTTAACAAAGACTTTTAGTATCACAGCCATGAGATTTTTTAATGAACCGTATCAAATCAATTTGAAATATATTGTATCGAATCTAAAGTTCACTGTATCGAGATGCGTTTCGTATCAGCAACTTGTTAATAATACCCAGCCCTATACCTAACTTCACCTTGGAGATGTTATTGCTTTGCTTGGAATGTTTCACAGTATGGCATTAAGAGAGATAACATACAGCAGGCAAAGAATTAACATCTCCATGAGAAGCAGGTAGATGGAAAAGTTACACAGGGCATCTTTAAGTATTCTCTAACTTTATGACTAACAATCTGTGACATTCTTATTATATTATTTAGAAACCTCTAGTGACGTTATGCAGTACAACAGAAATGTAGTGCATTGACTCTTGACATCACTCTGAGGGTGTCGTACATGTATATTTAGTGGCGGAATGTTCAGCAGTTGCCATGGAGACACAATGCACGTATTCACAAACACTGCCATATAACTTTTAAGATTAGAGGTGTGCAAAAATACTGAAATATCGATATTTCACAGTGTTTCCCGCATCACTCTATAGTTTAGTGGCCCCCGCCTTTACTACGTCCCTCTGAACCACATGAATCCTCACAAAATTCAAGTGTGATTATACAATATCGATATCGTGGGCTGCTGTATCGATATATGGCAAAGAGTATTTTTTGGTATATTTTACAAAATTATTTTATTACAGTGCTACAGTTTTGTTGCTTGTTCAGAGGAAAGAAACTAATTTATGCAACACATCTGACATTTTCACTGTTTTGATGAGTAAAATAAGAGCTGTTTCATATTGACAGTATAGAATCGATTTGAAATAAATTTTATTGAATCGTAAGCTCACTGTATCGAGGTATGTATCGTATCGTGGCTTATGTATTGAGGTATATTTGACTACCCAGCCCTATTTAAGATGTTCTGAAAACTCAAGAAAAAAATACAAAATGGATTTAAACTGTACAATTTCAGGAGCCTGTGATCAAGACGAGCGTTCGTGGTCCTATTTAGGTGTTTGATTTTCAACAAAAAGGTGAAATATGGCTACTGTTTACTCGCTTGTCTGTAATGTTATATAAAAGGGACTTGTTTAACACCACAAGTCAGCTCACCTGTTGTAGTTCCAGGTAAGTCAGTTCTTTCCGCTCAGATTGTTGTAAAATAAATCTCAGACATAGCAATGCCTACAGCTAGCATCACAACTTCCAGGGAATGTTGATGACAGCTGTGACATCCAGCTGACTGTCACAACCACAGTCAGACAGATAGAGAAATAAATAGAAGGATCTCAGCTGTGGTGTTTGTGAACAGCGTGCGTGAGGGACGTGTGTTACCTGTGAGAGAATATGACACAAATGGAGCAGAGGGGGCAGAGCCGGAGCTGCTGACTACATCATGGGTCCAGGACGAGCCAATGAAATCACTGGACAGGAAGAGGAGGAAGAGCATGAGGAAAAAATAACAATATTCATTTCTTATATTCAAAAGGAACGCACTATTACTCTATTACACTATTACTTTTTTTTTAAAGATTTAAGTTAAAAAATTGAAGACAGGAAGTTTGCCTATTAATTAGCCGATTTAAGAATCACAAGATCACAAAAGTATAATTTAATTTGTGTAAAGGCCAAGTGAGCTCTTATATACATTAAAATACAGTCCATGGTATTTCATAGTAAGGTTATGTTTTTATTTTGGTAACTTCCTCTATGAGCAGAAGTGAAGCTAAAAACATTAGCAAAGTACGCAAAGTAAACACAGCAACGCTAACAGTGAAAAACAAAAACAATGGCAAAAAGTTATATTAAAAACCCAAAGATAGCAACAGTCGACAGGGGATATATTTGACGTTCTTGTAATTTGTATTGAATTAATGTTAAAATATAGATAATGGTTAAAGTAGTATGTAGTGAGCTAGGGGTACAGAAATCTTATTGTAATTTCTGTTATTTTGTTCTTGTCTAGCTCTGACGTTGGTTCTACGACATGGCAAGGAAAAGATTAAAAGTCATTTAATCATCAGTTCTGGCCTTCTCAAAGGGAAAATGTCCTAATGTGGGTGAATTTTTAAAAATAGACACTGAGGCAATATAAAACAACTGGGTATTTCCTAGATTGAGGCAAGTGTTGCTAAATATCTGATTGTTGGAAACTCACCAAATTTCAGAAAATATCAGTATTTATTTCAATATTTTCTGCTTGTATGACATGTAATACACATAATATGGCATGTACTGGGTGAGGTTGCCATGTTTACAAATGATATGGAACAATGTATCCAATAACGTCAAAGTTCACAAAAGCAAAATAAAAAGCCCAGATATCAACACACTCCACCTTGACACCGTTCCTCTTTCATTTGGTCATTTTCATAACTCCAAATTTGGTCAAAATGCTGAATCAACTTTGTGTGCCAGTAATCCAGGGAAACACTAGGGCAGCAATTTGAGGCTGATTTCCAGTAACAGCAGCAACACATTTTAAAGATTCTCTGTGGAACTTTTCTTGTGAGGGCTCTAACACCTGCTTGTCTCCATGAAAAAAATATTTTATCGCTTTGCCTAGAATGTCCCAGACTATGGCATTAAATTCTATGAAGCCAAGCAGGTAGCGCCACCAGTCCAAGTCTAGGTGAGTTTAATGCCATACTGTGGAACACTGTCACAAGAAAAGTTACTCATTGCATCTTTAAAGTGTTTATAGCCAAACTGGATCCACATGGAGTGCACATGAATCAAATCATATAGACAGAAGACAACTAGGATGGAGAGATCATTTTGGAGCTTGCTGTTTTAGTCATGAAATGAAAAATTTTAAAGATAAATTGAACAGAAATATTCTGCCCATGTATTTCAGCACATTTTACTGTGGTCTAAAGTACACTGTATATGTTACTGAGTGATTGAAGCATTTCTGATTACTGAATTGCAACTAATAACTTTACAATTTGGATTGAACTGCCATGTTTGTAGTCCTACATTCTACATTCCCTCACTGAAAACAAGCTTTGACACTGTTCTCACATGTACAGTTTGCATCTCCTCACGTTTGCCATAACATCTCAATATGTGAGGCAATGTGGGAGCATCTTGCCCGGTGACACAACAACACGGTCTGACACTGGTAGCAGAAAATACTAGCCAGGCTTGCGCCACCTAGTCCCTCCGCTCAGTTTAATTTCTCTCCAGTGACTAGGTCAGGAATCAGAATACACTAGACGGTTCCCAAAAACCCCAGAAGTGTTCAGGCACCAGCCAATCAGCGAAGAGCTACACATTCTGTGTTGGCAACGATTCCTGAGATTGAAGATTTAAAGTCGGAACAAAGAGAATGAGAAAACATGTTATTGCCCTTCTTCCTACGGGATTTGGGAAAACCTTAATATACCAGTTAGCCCCCTGTTAGTGGTTCATTACATGCAGCACGACCAAATAGCAGAGACTGGTTAAATTAAAAAATGTACCTGCCTACCAACGAGCGAACGAACTGTAATGCTGCGAGGTCAATCTTTCACTTTATGGAAACAGGCTGATGAATCAGGCAGAAAATACACCACCAAGTTTGAAATAGTTGTCATTCTTAGCGGAATACATGAGCATTTTCCCATAAATGACAACGGAGATAAAGAATGAATCAGAAGTTATCTCGAATAATGACATACAGGTCAGGTCAGATTTGATAAGATTTTGGATTGGATAAAAAAATTTTTTAAAAAAGGTAAGTACTGGTGACTTACATTTTTTTAGAAGCTGTAGTCCCAAAATGCACCGCTTCAATGTCAGCAAAAATATTCAATAAAGTTAATCAAAAATGGTGAGGCCAAAATTTGGAACTGAATCACACATTGTATTTATTATAGCCTAAAGAATGTCTAAATCTCATTCTGTCTCGTTCTCGTAGTTCCAGTCTCGTGTTTAGTCTCGTATTGTGGAAATTGTATCTCGCCCCATCCCTACTACTACTACTACTACAACTACTTTGTATTAGATTATTATTATTTTTATTTATTTATTTATTTTTATCTCCAGTTGCAGACAGGCCTGTCATAATAACAAAAATATATGTATTTAAAGTATGAATGCTGCTGAAGAAAATATAGATGATAATGGATAATATTGAAAAGACTTTGTTCCAGTGACAGTAATGCTAAAAAAACATGAGCTGCAGTAAATAAATAGCAAAATGAAACTCTTAGTAGTTATAGTAGTAGTTATCTGGAGTATAGAATGAGTCATGGAAGTTGTTTATTCAACCCTCTACAGCTCAAATTTCATTGTAGTACAGAAAAATAACAAGAAGTTTTCACAAGTACAAAGAAAAAGTGCAGGCAATAAATCCTGACCCAAAAGTCGATATAATAATTATCATGACAGGCCTAGTTCTGACTGGTGATCTAGTGTACACCTATTCCAATCAGCAGTACACACCAAGTTACAGGTCAGATCTGCGAAGTCGCCACCCCTTACAGTCAGAATATCTGATTTTCTAGGTATTTCTGAGCTATAAAACTATCTCTAATTGAATAAACGTAAGGTAAATTTGTTCAATGTCACAATGTGGAATATTCCAAGTAGAGCAATGGCAGCAAAACAAAAAAGCAGGTGACGGACCCACTACTGAAAAGTTACATGGTGCACCTTTAACTTTTTTGGACATTTCTTTTATTTCTTAACTACCTAACTATTACCTATATTTTTGTTTAAATGTTTTTACTTAATTTATTTATTTTATTACAATAAATATAAAAAATTGTACTAATAAAAAATATACATGTATAAAGAATAGGTTTAATAGTCTATTTTTGAAGAAACTGCTGTAGAAAGTTCCCTCCTGGATCAATAAAGTTGGAGTCTAATAAGGCAAAGGAACAGGAATACTGATACTACAGGGTGGGACTAAATCCGGAACTCAACCTGGACTAAACCAGGCAGGACTATAACTTGACCAAACCAAGTCTACATCAGGGACCAAGTCTGAAAGTGTGAAATATAAAAATTCTTACCAAATAATTCCCAGCTATTCCAACGACAACATGGCGTATCCGAGCAAAATTAAAACAGTCATAAAAAAAATACCCACACGAGTTTGATATCCAGCCAGTAGGCGACCGTTCCTCCTTATAAGTTCCTATTCCGGCTTGTATGTTTCTTTCTTGGTGTCAGTAGCGTGCCCTCCCTCTTTCCTCTCTCTCTCTCTCTCTCTCTCTTTTTCCTCCCTCTCTCTCTTTCTCTCTCTCTCTTCCACTAAATTAGCCTGACCACTGGTGCACTTGGCAACATAAGAGAGGTCTGTGTGTCCAGCGAAGACTTTTCTATTCGCCCACCACTTGACGCTCCTCCCTCTGGCCTGCCCCCTGCTGATCATAGACATAACATGATGAAAAGAATAAGGAGAAGTGGAGAGTAGCTGAACTGTAGTCAAGTAAGAGTATACTACTTTAAGAATGTTGATGCTTAATCAGACAGACTTAAAATAGTTTAAGTTGGACGGTATGACACAGCATGACAGAAGTTCTCCCTCATTTCAAAAGGTCAGCGCATTATAGACTCAAATCCAAAGAGTGACGCACCGATCCTTGCTTTTTCAGTTCCAATACTGATTCCAATACTATATCTTTAAATATTTGCAGATATTAACTGCTACCAGTGCAGAGATTACATTTATTTCCTTAAAAAAATAAAAATAAAAAATACTAATACTAATACTAATACAAATGTGTTATGTAACTGTTATTTATGTCTCAAGTAATTCCAGGACAGCTTTGTATAAATACAAATTCAAACATTGTCAGACTTTCTGGGACAAATATGACTAGTAAATAGTAGGGCTGTAACGATATTCAAGTCTCACGATACGATGTCATCATGGTATGAACCTGACGGTACGATATTTATTGCGATATCGTGGGAAAGCTCACGATATTATGTGGGGAGGCTCACGATTAGGAATGTAACAATATCCAAATTTCTTGATACGATATTTTCACGATATAAATCTCACAGTAAGATATTTGTTGCGATATTTTGTGGAGGCTAATATGCGTCTTTTTCCTCTTAAAATGCCTTGATAAGACTTAATCCAAAGACTTAAAAGTGCATAGAACTGTTATGTCGTCTTGTAGTCTGCACTGAAATGGAGCAAAGGATCAGGGTCTATGTAGTTCTCTCTGTCTTTTTTAAACTATTGCTGCACCATAACTCTTCATTTAAGCAAAGAGACTTGTAATTCAATATATTGTGATGGTCCATGATATTATTGTGAGAACTTTGACGATACAAAATTATGAGATTCCGGTTATTGTTAAATCCCTAGTAAATAGTCTTTATAAATCAATGTATATGTCCATTCAGGATATCAACAGAACCAATATTTGGAAGCCGATTCAGCAATTTTTCAGTATATTTGAAACCAGTATCGGATTGATGCATCCTTAGTTAAAAATCTGATTGAAAACATTTTACTTTAAGGTAATACTGAAAGATTTGCTTTCCAACTGTCTTCAATATATAACACACAAAACAGAGGGCAAAAAAGTAAAGGTGCATTTCAAGACAAGCAGGTAAGACAAGCATCTTTTAGGTAGAGGACCTGCTCTTATCTGTCATGTACGTAATCAAGGTTGTTTTATTGCTAAAACACACATGCATTCTTACTGTGAGCACGGTTACCTCTCCACAGATCTGACCTGTGAGACCTGTGTGTGACCTGCATGTCTCCATGGAAATAGGTAAATAAATGCTTAACTACAGGCTACTCTATCATTAAAAGGACTAAGGCTGCAAAAAATCAATAGCAGATTTAGCCTCAATCTTATCATAGTACAGAAAAAATTGCTAAAATCTTCCCACTGTTGCAAAGAAAATATCCACATGATAAATACTGAGCTCCAAAATGCTTGCTCTAGCTTGCAAATATTGAAAAATAAGTCAATATACTGTACTAATTACTGCAACAAATCTAAAAACAACTTAAAAAAATACACAAAAATTCCGGAAATATAGCTGAATCATAACAACTGAATCAGCAAAATCATCCTGTACTTGGTCTGGTGAGGTGAATTAGCAATAACTGAACTTCTTAAATTTGTGCCCACAGACACGCAGCCGCGCATGTGAGCTATGAGTCATGTCTGAATCCAACTTCTGGTAAAGTAAAGAGCTGCAAAGGTTAACACTGATAGGGTTCCCAAGGGTGACTGATTCTCCACAGGGCTGAGAAAATGTTAGATGTCTGCTATAGGTAGCATAGCATTTTGAAGAAGGAAAACATCTAAAGATCTAAACCTGGGTCTTGATTGATTGATTGGTCAGGAGTACAGAGCTGGAGGGTTGAACTACTGAGTTTACTGTAATTTATGGGCATTCATTCATCTGTAACTGCTTATTCAGAGTATAAAATGTCTTCTCTGCATTTGAACCAACTTCAGATTTGACATGTTAAGCCAGTGAGGAGCAGTGGGTGACCTGATACCAATGTGGATCTTGGTCAGGATACTGGAGTGTTGCACTACTGCACTTTCATTTATAGATTTTCATTCAGGTGCAATTTATTAATCAAAACATAAAGAATATATTTGGTGGCAAAATGGCTGAGAGGTTAGCATTCTAGAAAGAAGGTGCCATGTTCAATTTCTGATCTGTAACCCCTTTTCTTGCTAAAATATACAAAATTGTCTTATAGATACATTTTAAACAAGTATTGGCAAAAAACAAGTACAGATTTTGTTGTTGCAGCCTTTGCGATTTGCTAAATGCATCGACTGAAATTGCAATTGCAATTTGCTTAATCTCGCTGCCATACTCCAGACCATGAATACAGCTGAAGATTGGGAGAAGGGTCCTAAGACATTGGGTCAAATGCAGGGGACAAATTTCCCAAAGAGGACAAAAGTGCACCTTTAAATGTATACAGCTAACATACAGATACAGTCAGCTAAATATAGAAACTCCAGAGTGATCTTGTACTTTTGTACTTTCCAATTTGTGACTAAGGAAACCTCTGTGTGGTGAATATGGCATTAAATGTAATGCTCATCAACCACAAGAAAAGTCCAGGAAGAGATTTTCAGGAAGGCAACTTGATGGCCAAACAATAGTTTTCAGACACATGTGATAAATGATTAGTGTTTAAATGTTATAAAACAGATTTCACTTCTGCAACTACAACTACATCAAATTATGTGTATTCACTCGCACATAATCTTTACATCAATATTACAAACAGGGAGTGATAACAAACAGACCTATAACAAATGGGCAAATCATTTCTATGAATAAATAAATAATGCATCAGTTTTCTCATAAGTCACTTTATCATTTTGTGCAGTATTCATTCACTCTACACTTGGTGGTGGTAAGCAACTATTGTAGCCACTGCTGCCCTAGGACAGACTGAGAGAATCACTATCAGCCCTGCCAACCACTACCAACACACAAAGCTGTGTGTGTTTTATTTATTTGATCAATTCATCATGCTGGCTTCATGCATTTGCTTCATACACATCATTATGTTCATATACATATAAGATGATTATAATAACCCCAAATCATTTTTCCTGATGACTACTGTTTAAAGGAAATGAGCAGAATACAGTTTACAGTACAGCCTGCTCCACTTGCAGCAAACCACTTGACCTATATCATTCAGCTAATAACCTAAACAAACATGGCCGCTGCTCTGTGTAAACATGTCTGCTCAGCTTCTTAAAAACAACTCTTCCCTCAAACTGATGACTTAAGAACATAATATACATCTCAATCTGATAAAGGGATTCTTCAGAAACTATTCACATTCATATTTCACCATATTCAATACAAGCAACACTTTAACTTCTATACCCAGTCATTTAGACTGACAGGAGCCTGACAAGACCAGGATGTACCGAAGTACTGACTGATCATTATGCATACCATTGAAACTCGATTTGAAATGTTACACAGTGTGGCATTAAGCTTGTATATCTCCATGGTCACAAGCAGGTGACAGCACTAGGATTAGTTACAGGTCAGGTCTCTGTGGAGGGAGGACCTCATTTACAGTTGAATGTATTTTTTCAATGTTTTTGAATCAATAAAAACATCTGTAATTGAATAAATACAAGAAATATAACTTTAAAGCCATACTGCTGTCATTTAGTATTTTAGAAAGCAATGATCCAAAAGAATGAAAAAACAAACAACTTCACTTAACTTCACTTAAATTGTCCAGCCCAACACTGAATACTGGGATTATGTCCTATAGGCTGCAAGAAATAGCAATTATTGGTGTGTACAATGTCCTCTATTAAACAAAACAGCATAGCATTGTTAAAGAATGATCAGGACTCAGTGCAATGGCATCTTGGACCTGTTTAAAACAATATCTGACTAAAGACAGATCCGGCTCACTCACTGCACCCACAGTCCAAGCCCCTGTCCTCTTTTATTCCTTACAGCCATCAATCTCATTAACAGCTCCTAGAGAACATGTCACTGCCACACCTGCACTTTACCTGCACTTTACCTGCACTTTACCTGCACTTTACCTGCTGCTACAGAGATATACTGTGATAAACGATATTGAAACTCCTTTATTCCACTGACCAAAGCAGAAGAATCAGAGTAAGCCAGTTTTAAATCAACTGTACCATTAAAAGGCCTGAGCTGCAACTAATAAATAACAGAATGAACCCATAATTAGCCACAGAAGTCACTTATTCAACCTTTCACAGCTCAGATATTATCGCAATACAACAAAAATCTGACAAAACTTCACAGTTTTGCAAGAAATTGTACACAGGATAAAATTTGAGCCCTAAAACATATAGTTCCAGCTTTCATACATTGAATGATAAGTCAATATAGTAATTATCTTGACAGGCCGATGTGTGACGTTCTTATGTGAATGTTTTTAGGATACTGGCTCCACCAAAATTGCCCGAAATCAAATCGATATTTATCAGAAAAAATATACAGTAATATGACATTTTCCAAAATCATTCAGCTCTAGTGTGAAACATGTCATAAAAGTCATGTATTGTGGAAAGCGTGTCTGGTTCAGTTGCTTCTGGTGTTTCTCAGTGGTATCAAAGTCCCTCTGCTCCTCGTGCCCTATCACAGTGAACAGTGCAGCCTCACAAGCCTGCCCTTGTTTGTACACAAAGCTCATAGTACCCCTCTGTATTTATGACTGGGTTATTTTGGTCCGGAGGCGGGACAAGAGACAAAGGCCGCAGCTGATTAGTCGGAAACAATGGGCAATGTCCAGTCTGGCCAATCGGAGGAGGTCTGTGGAGGTGGGATTCTCATTAGAGC